AATGACCAATTACTTGAGGTCAACAATTCTTGTAGATAGATTGAAACTTTTGGTAATTCTTGCTATTGAGCGTGATCTATGTAGAAAATAGAATTTTTATGATATCTTGTATGAATTCGCTACACGCAAAGCTCGTAAAGTATTTCTGTATGTAGTAAAGAATGAATAAAATGCAAAGATAACTTTATTTTCAAATCAAACTCTTAATTTTACTTATTATCCGTATCCCTAACCAAGCTTGGCCCTGTGAAATCCGTTTTGCATAATGGTTAAGTCCGGCACTGCTATTTTGTGATGGGTAAATACTACTTGTTCTCCCCCACCCTTTTTTTTTTTCGTAGGGTAACTCTAGTCCGTCCGACTTGCAGAAATAAAAGAGTAATCTTTCCTTTATGTGATGTCCAAACTCTTGAACCACAAAGAGAATTAGATATAGATATATATATACCAGTAAATATATTACTATCACACTAAACAGGTGTGTTCTTACTTATAGCAAATAAAAATAATTCATGTTCTACACAACGTAGTAATACTGGGCTATTCTGTGGCATTTTACATCTCAAGAGACGATCTTTTCCCTTTGCAACTTCTTGTGTGACTAAAGAGGCCAATCCTTGATACACAGCTGCGATCGCAGGTTGGGCATATATAATTACCAGGCGCCGTTGCATTTTCACCCTTCTTTCTGCTTCTGTTGTGTATGACATCTGCAATCTTTGACCCTTCCTTTATGCTCTCTCTCTATGAAGATCTGTCCAGTGCCACCTCTTCCCAGTTGCCAGTGTCGATTTTGAAGAGCTTCGTGTCGCGTTTTCATACATCCGTATAACGTAAAAGTGGGCGACCAGCGGCTCTCCTGCCTTCTATTAGATCGCCATACAGAATGTCCTGTGGAAGTCGACCTACTGGCATTCTACGAACGTGGCCAAGCCAGCCAAGGCATCTGCTGCTGATAACAGAGCGGATGTCCTGGCACCCTGCTCTTTGCAGCACTTCCTCATTGGTTATCTTATCTTGACACCTTATTTTAAAGATCCGCCTTAGGCATCGGAGGTGGAAAACATTCAGCTTTTTTTCCTGCCATGAGTAGGTTGACCATGTTTCACTTCCGTACAGCAAGGTGCTCAACACACAGGTCCGGTAGACTAGGGCTTTAGTACTGCTAGTCAGCAATATGTTGTCCCAGACTCTTTTCTGCAGCCGTGACATGGTGGCCATTGCCTTGGCTATCCTGTTGTTTATGTCTTTATCCAGTAGAGTGTTGTTGGATTTGATGGAGCCAGGTAACAAAAGTGATCAACAATTTCTAGTGGTTGGCCATTAATGCTTACTTGAGGTGCAGTGTTTGTGTTTTGGACAAGTATCTTAGTCTTGCTTTGACTGATGTTTAAGCCAAACTTCTGGCAAACAGCAGATAATTTGTCAACCAGGCACTGTAGCTGAATATCAGAATCAGCCACAATAGCTGCATCATCAGCATACAGGAGTTCCCAGACGAGTAGCTTCTTAACCTTGGTTTTTGCCAGCAGCTTTGATACATTAAATAGTTTTCCAGAGGATCTTGGGCTATTGCAAACAATTAAATCATAACTTACAATTACAAAACATAAAATAATTACAAAAGATCAAAACAAAATTTTCTATCATGAGCCAATTTGACAAACACTGGAGATATGGCGTAATGTTTAATTAGTATTGTGTTTTTTTAGTAAAATAAAAGCACTTATAAATAATAAAGTAAAATAAATAAATAAATGTAAAGTTTCAAAAGTTATTTCTTTCAGAGTAAAAACATTAACCAACCAGTTGATGACCTCTGTAATAGCAATGAAAGCTATTTCACAAACTATAAATAAAAAATTTAAAAATTTAATTCTAATTAAATATCAATAAAAAAATAAAAAATGAATAAATGCTGGTTAAATACCAAATAAAGAAACTGTGCAAACAGAAATACAACATATTTAAAATTTGAAAAAAAGCTCAGGTGAAACAGTCCATAAAAAGTATCACACAACAAACACCAAACTCAAACACAGCAGACAGCTTCAGATTGAAAACATAAACAATGTCATCTCTAAGGATAACAATAAATATATGGACATAAAATCTAGGAAAATAGAAAAAACTAAATTTTCCCTATTAAAAGGAAAAAATACTTAAACCATGATTATGAAACTTATGAAAATAAATATTTTGCACTTTCATAGCACATTCTTTGGATGCAATAATAACCTCTTTTAAAGAATTGGCTATTAAGATGACAATTGAATGTTAATTTGATTTACAGAAAAAAAATTAATGCTGATCAGTAAGTCAACACATTAGTATGAATAAGTAGAAATAGAGCTTTTGTCAATGAATAACAGAAATTTTTATTTAATTCAATAAACAGCGCTTAAATTTCATAAAATAAATTAAGCTCATGTTGGACGTAACCATCTTCTTTTTTGAAGTAAGGTATGTATTATATAAGAGCCCAATAAAACTGCTATATAAGATAAGATTATTTTAAATACTAATTCATTTTATTAAATGATTCAATTCATTCTTATAATAAGTTATAATGTTGTCCACTGATTCAACTTGTTAAAATCAGATATATGTCTACTTAGCTGCCTGGTCGCTTAGCTTTTATTTAACAGAGTTGTCCATGTCTTACTTAGACTTAGGTCCTCCCGCGCCGTTCGGCGCATTGTGCGGCAAGCTGTCTCCACAAAGATCTGTCACTGGCAATGTCTGAAGCCTCCTCCCACCTGGTATCCACTGTTCTGAGGTCCTCCATGAAGGTGTGTCGCCAAGTAATACGAGGGCGTCCCTGTTTGCGCTTTCCTTGTTTTGGCTTCCATGTTATCGCAACTCTTAGTGTGCATAATTCATTTTGACGTAGAACATGTCCTGCCTTTAAAACATTATTATCACTACCATTTTTTCTATGTCAATATATTTCATCTTATTGATGACTTGAATAACTTTCTCATAAATAAGCCAGTCGCCAGTCATGGGCCTATAAATATACCAGTATTTTAAAACCTAAAAAAATTCTTTAATTAAATAGATTTAAAGGAAAATTTACCTGATTTTTTTCTTTTTCTTCCTTCTTTTTCAACTTTAACATCAGGATCAGTCATCGGTTCATAGGATGCAGGAGGCGGAACAGCATTTGTTTTATAATCTATTGGTTCACTGGAAGCATTTTCTTCAGCCAATCGTTTCTCTAACTTATCCCAGTTTAATTCTTTTTTTTCTAATACTTGTAAGAAAGCAGGCTTATTTTGAGAATTAAGGCAATCATTCGCTGAAGGTAGTTTGGACAATTTGTCAACAGCAGTCACTGAACTGCTACTGCTTGTAGTTGTATTAGTGCCAGCAGTACTTCTGCTGGTGTTAGAAAAAGGACTTTTTTGATATAATGTAGATCTATTGTTACTATTACTTTGGACTTGTTCAATGCTAATAGAGTTATTTTTCAAATTAGAAAATGAGTCTTCATGATTAGCATCTTTAGCATCATCTTCTTCAGAATCGCTCAACTGATCTTCGTCTAAATCTTTAAAATATCGAGATAGTGGATCTGTTTTCCTAGTTTTGGCAGCCATTGTTGTTTACATGTGAAATGTGTTACCGGAGTTACCTCTCCATTATGCTACCGTTCCGTATATGCCCATAGGGACCTGGATCCAATAATCAAAATAATAGCAATATCTTCGATTTCAAAGATTTTCATTAATAAAAAATGAAATATTTATTGAAAAATAATTTTAAATAATTAGATAAATGTTATGTTTATAAAAATATAAATCTAGATCTATGTAATAAAAACAAAATATAATAATGTTGAACTACTGAATTTACTGTGCACGGTAATCTTGTCTATAGATCAAGGGTACATAGCTTGAATCTAAACACACATTGACTCAATGATTGTCAAAATGGCTGCAGTTGTTCGTGCCTTAGAGGTGACTGCTAACAAAACTTCGTTAGCTAGCCATTTTATGTACTTGTTTAAAAATACTAGTGGAACCAAAGTACATAATTTGAAATTGCACACATCGTCATCGACATGTTCACTTACTTTAGCGCTGCATCAGCGAGCACATTCATTCAATAACCGTAACCCCACAAAGGCACAGCCAGAAACAATCGCCTCTCCAAAGACTTCTTGCAAAATTGACTTTGACCCTCTGTTGGTTCAGGATTTACTCAATAAAATGAAAGACGACACTCCACTTTCTGACATGCCTGATCCTTTCGCTAAAGACTATCATCGTTGTTTCTTGTGTCAACATAATGTTCAAATAGATCACAAAAACGTACGATTGCTAAGCCAGTTCATTTCACCCTATACCGGTCGTATTTACGGCAGGGCAATTACTGGTTTGTGCATACCTATGCAAAAACATGTCGCCAGTTTAATCAAAAGAGCAAGGTTCTCAGGATATATGGCTTACGTATTTAAAGATCCAAAGTACGTGCAGGATCCACAGCCATACGATACAATGGCCAAAAAACAATAGCAATAAAACAGCCAATTTTAGATATCGTCACATTATTATCACAATTTCTCTTCAAAGAACAGAATTCTTGCTTACAACTGAAATTAGATATCTATTTAGTCTAAATTTCTTAATCAATGACAATTTATAGATCTATTTCTTCAAGAAGAAAAAAAGTAGTGTTTTTATTATTTGAATGTTTTTTATGATCATCTTTATTATTCTTAGCAGTTCTTTTTACATGTATTAAATATATGTTTTAATTATAGATTATCTATTACCATACTTAAAAAATACTTTTTAGGTCTTACATCTAAAATAGCTATAATAACTCTCTCCCTCATTTTGATTGATATGTTAACTTTAAAATTAATCTTTGATGAATTGTTTTTTAATGTTGCTTAATAAAATATATTTAAGATGTTCAAAATTTTTTTTTTTTTCAATTTTGATTTATATTTATTTACAATAATTCTTTCTGCCCTAATATTAAAAACAAATATATTAAATTTTGGCAAAGCATGTACAGAACTCTAGCTTTTTCTTTCACACATTCATAATTTTAACTTTATATTTATTAAATGTAATTTGATGGTCAATAGGTCACATATTCAAACTCTGGCTTCTTCAATCCCCTGCTGTCCTGAGGAAGGATTGGAATAGGATATAATAATCTTAGATTCCGAAGGAACATCAGAAACATGTAAACAATTTTCACAAGTGAACTCAGTGTTGCTGAGTGACAAACTGCATGGTTATCTATCAAGAGGAGCTTAAGCCCAGATTGTAGCTTGATTGTATTTTTTGTTTGCATTAAGCACTTAAGGCAGAACTGAAACCTCCCAAATACCCCACTTGTCAACTTAAGTGATTGGACCATTGCTGAATGAGCATGCTAAAATGTTAAAGATGCACTAACTACAAAAGCAATTTTTAAAAAAAGGGTTTTATGCTGTTGGGGTGTATATTTCATTTGCTTTCATGGTCTTTTATTTAGGTTATAGACTTAATGAGTTTCTGAAAGCTTTATCCTGAAAGTCGATGTGAGAAAGCTATACAAATATATTTTTTGTTCAACTGTGTCACATTGTGAAGCTTAGAAATTAGTTCCAGTAACTGGGAAATAAAAACATTTTTTAAAGTTTATTAAGCATTTTGTGTCATCTATTAGAAGTGTTTAAAATTTTAACTATCGAAACACACAGTTGCATTGTGTAATTTGAAAAAAACTAATTTCACACACTACCTGTAGAAAAAATACTGCACTAAATCTCTAATCATTTACATTTTATTAATAAGAAATTGAGGATAAAAAATGCCTGCACATAATACACTTTAAGAATGTGACAAGTAAAAAAAGAAAAATTAAAAGATTGTGTTTATGATAATTTAATGCAACATTATAAATAAATCAACATGGCCAACAATACAAACAAAAGTTTCATTATTTTGATAAGTGAAGCTGTACAATAAACAAGTGTTCTGTAACATAAATGTATCGATTTCATGTACTATGTTCTCCTAGTGCAGCATTGGACATAACAAAATGCTGGTTGTTTGTTTGGTGTGGTCCTTTAGGAACTAAACATATCAATCTTTTCCACCAGTCTGGATCATTGTCAGAGTCCTTCTGTAGGGAAAAAAAAATGGCAATTGAGATATCTAGAAGTTATGAAATTTATAATTTTGTGTGGTACAGTACAAGCATATTTCCTTGCTAATGATTGGCAGAAACATATTTAAAATATCTAATAGAACAAATAGGGTACTGGTAGTTTTCAATCAAAACATTTCTATCACTTTTGTTACTCTATGCAGTGAACATAAAATTCAAGAGAAGAAAACAAGTACATAGAATGAAGCTTAATAGTATGTCTTATAAATGGAATGGTTAATTGATTTTGTTGAATCAAGAAGTAGCATTTTAAACAATATGCATACTAACCAAACCATAGACAAGGTTACAAAAGTAGAGAACTTAGCTTGAACCCTGTTGGTAATTGATTATGACTACAATATATAGGTGTAGACTAAGCCCATTCAAATATTACAGCATTATACAGAAGTATTCAGCAATAGTAACTGAACTGAGAGAAGTAAACACTGAAAATGATGGTTACTGGGGTCTTTTTGATTAAGTATGTGTTTAAAATTTAAAAATCACTTTACCTAATCTACTGTAACAGTATATCATTCTTTTTGGTACCGTACCCGGTATTTGCAATAAACAATATGATCACTTAGCCTTTTTATAACCCCTACTTGCTGCTTGATGAACAGTACTGTTTTTGGTTTGCCTTTTTTTTTTTCCTTGATTATGACCTAGGGCAATGTAATCCAATCTTTCTTCAGTTTCGTTTAAAAAATTTGTGGACAAAACTTCAATGATTACTATAAATGTCAATATTTCCTTTTCAGCATTTTAGGTTAAATTGGTACTGAAGAACTTCATAAAAAAATATGTAAAAAAAAAATTTTTAAAGTTAAAAATACAATTTTTTCACAATCTCAAAAAGTATATATTGATAACTTCAAAATATTTTAGTATGAGCCACAAGTTATCAAAGTTTGCATTATCAATTGGAGATGCCTCTGAAAGATTTCAAAAATTTTAATTTGAACTACAAATTACAGTAAGTAATGTAAATTACAATAACAAGTGTAACCAACCTTAGACACTTCATCTAATGGAGATGTCTCATTGAAAGAGATATCATGAACCAGACCTTCTTCATCATCAGATTTACCAATGGTAAACTTGGGATCTGTGAATCTTATAGATCTCACCAGGAGTCTGGATTTCCTGAAAGTGAAATACAAGCAATGTAATTAGCTACTTTGGGCAAATGTTTCTGGGAAATAGCATACAACAAGAACATTTATAATAAAAGATTTCTCGTCTACTGAAAACTGAGAGACTCCAGCTCTGGTAGTCTTAACAAAATGTAAAACGTCCCACATTGGTGTTCTGGGAACCATAACATTCCATCCAAACATCTTCAATACACAGGGTGAGGTTTCAACTGTACCAAAATAGCAGCCACGCCATTTCACACAGGGCTAGCAAGGAACTGCAGCAAATCCAAATTGACAGTTGTCCCACATTATTTGGTGGTAACCTAATAGGTATAAAAGGAATTCCCTGAGATAGTTGACCTCCCCTGGAAGGTAGATGTTCTAAGAATTCTGGGACAATACTTGATCAGCAGCATTACCCAAACACAGCATAGTTCCCCCATATCTCAGGTCTAAAAAAAAAGTAAAATTCTCCTTTCAAATATGGGTCTAAGGGGCAGATGGTGTAAAGGTCATCTGTTTCTGTGGCTCACAGTTAATGAGGGTGCCATGTGACCAGCATAACAACTAGCCGCCTTTACTTTTCCCCAACTAATGTCAGTTTTAATTAGAAATGGGTGAACTCCTGAGGCGCCCTAAAGATCCTGAAATTAAAAATGCCAATCATCACTAGGATTCAAACTCAGGACCCTCCAGTTCGGCAGCCATATGCTTTGCCTCTCAGCCACTGCGCCTCTAACTCAGGTCTTTAATAAAGCTAAAATATAGACAATAAAATGTACAAGTTGATTACTTCTTGTATATGACTATAAGCACCACTGCAATTAACACTATCACTACCACTATGACTGCCACCAGAAGGCCAACAAGCCATGGCTTTGAACCTCCATTAGTCTCACTCTTTTTAATCACCATATCACAAAACCTTCCATTGTAGCCAGGAGGACAACTGAAAAATACATTTGAATATCATTTTCAGCAATTGTTTTCATTTTTATTACACCACCATCTAATCTACATAGCCTAGTTATATTTTTTTTTATGTGTCTGGTTAAAAGTTAGTACCGTACACAATCTTACACACCCAATCTCAGATCAATTTGAAATTTTCCACAATTATTTCTTGTATCTAAGAAAAAAAGAATCAATTTAAAAAATTAAACGATTAGTTAATGAACTATTTGTAATGTAGGCCTACTTGACAGATGTGGTGGTACAAGTTAAATTAGTCCCCTTGAGGAGAGGCTTGAGCCCTTAATTCGAATTCAAGTCGTACAAGTTCTTATGAATTTAAAAAGCAATCATGGTAACATTTAACCAGATAACCCCTGCTTACCTCCCTCCCCCCACCACCTTTTCGCAACTGGTCGACAATTGATAGGATCATTGTGCATTAAGAAAGCTAAAAGCATGAATTTGTACTAAACAAAAACAGTTGGTAAAAATATTTCTAATTGAAAGATTTATTATTCTTGGTCTAAATATATTACAAATTTAATTAAATGACTAACTGAAACTGATACAATTACACTTAATTTTTAAAGTTTTTTTAAAATGTTTTTCTTGTTTTAATATTTAAATGTTACCTGCAGTATTCCAATATTGACCATTTACATTCTCCTCCATTTAGACAATTAAGTGAACAGGGTTTTTCACCGTTAAAGATTTCACCTGGGGAGGTACATCAATAAACCACTAAGTTTTAATTTACAAGCATGATTCTTCTAGATTAATTATTGCCTTATATTTAATTTAAATGTTTCTACCAAAATAGTTTTGCATCCAACATACATAGTACTTTTTTTTATTGTATGGAGCGGTAATAGGATTCAAGAGAAGAAAACATTTTGTTTCAACCAATAAAGTGAATAGTTCAATTAGGATGAAATCAATCTTTTTTTTTTTTAGAAACAGTAGACACTAAGCAAATATATATATACATATATCTATGGAAGTAGATAAGAAATAAAAAATGTGTAACAAAGTTGAAACAAAATTGTGTCCATACAAAAAAACTTCATTACAACAAATAACATTGGAGCTTGAACCTGTACATCTTGAATTAGTGAGGTCAACATAATCTTCATGACATAAACATCTTCCTCCATAGGGGATCAACACACATAGGAACAAACAGTTCAACTCTTGACAAGGATTATATCCTGTGGACACAGAGAGCAGTTATGACAAACGAATTCTCATTGTTTATGTAAAAGGTTGAGATTCAAAACTTGGATGTTATTCTTTGTTTTCCTGCTGGTGGTTTTAAACGACATTCACTCTAGATGATAGCATAGAATATAGAATCAACATCGTTTTACTATATAAAGCCTTAAACTATTTTTAAAAAGGATTAAATTTAGGCAAATTTAGACAGATTCGTACAAAAAAAAAAGGTAATAGGGTGACTTTAAATAAATATTTTAACAACAAGCCTTGAACATCTTTATAATTTTTTTTTATGTTTGGAGGGTTCAGATCTGTAATCCTATAGATCTGAGATGAACTGTGCAGTGGTTTCCAGATCAAGCAGTATAATTTTTCTTCTATTGGAGGGTTTTGGGGCCAGAATCTTGTTTGAGTCTCTTGATAGAATATATAATATATATCTTTGAAGGACATGGTGGGCATTCTCAGATGATGCTCCACAAGGGCGCAAGTTTTACTAGTCCCAACTTTTAGCTTTCAGAACATATCTTTTCTCATTCTGTTGTGTTTGGTTCTGCCTTGGACAAATACATTATTTTTATATTTATAGTGTAGTCACTCATTGATCTCTATATTGTGTGTTCTATTTGTGTGAATGATTTCTTTTTATTTGAGATAAGAGTCCTTGTAATCTAATTTCTAATAAGGATAAAAAAAAAGCAGTGCAATGATTTTTTTCTTTTAATAAGTTCAATAAGAATTGAAAAAAAAAATGTATTCAATTTCTTCACCACTCTGCTTATATAATACAAGTAAACTATTTCTGACTTACTTATTGGTTGTTTCAATCTGTGCACCACTTTGATTGGTCCTAAGCCTGACATAGTTCTAATCTTTGGTTCTGTGTGCATTGTGTCATAGGTATTGAGCTTCACTACTGCACTATCATTAAGATCAGTCAGATAAGCCAGACCTTCAAATACATCCATAGCGTAGATTGTACTAGACAGATGGTAGGTCACTGAAAACCTGGGTTGAAAAAAAGGTTATCCTAATATTGGAAAATAAATCTCTTATTGATATTCTTGTGGTAGATTATAAAAGTCCAATTTCTTTCTCTTCTGTGTATGAGTTAGGGCCCTTTGTGTTGCTTATCACCTATAGTTGGTGTTTTGTAATCATTCCCTAGTTATGGAATAGTAA